GGTTACGACATCTCAATATGGGCCTGTCCTGAAAAGGCGGAATCTTTAAGACACTGAAAAAACGGGATAAACAAGTTGGGGATGGCCCAGCCCATGTATGGTATCAGTTATACTCGACAGGATAAAGTCTATGTGATGCATGAATAAATATATTTAATTATACACAAATAAAAACAGCACAATAATTTAACGTTGCTTTCTATTTGAATATTATACTATATGCTGCGTGAAAAGAATATTATCCTATGGTCAACAACGGTTTAACCATCACTTGTTCCCCCTCCCCCCCAAAAAAAAAACCACAAAAAAAAAACCCTAATGGTTTGAAACCATATCGAAACTAGAAAGTACTTCTCTTTTGATTAGACATTCATGCTCAAGCATTCAATAGTATTCGTTTGGACGAGCATGTACTTTTGCGATAATTCCATCGACTAAATCTCTGTCAATAACTTTGGAGGGGGCAGGCATGTCCATTCTAGCTTTTTGCATTTTCAAAGCGAAGGAAGGCGAAAAAGTAAAGCGAAATATTATCACTGAACTCTTGGGCCAAGCGCACACACGGTAATTGGGATCCGACGTTGCATTGCTTCCTGAGCTTTTTCATCAGATGTCTGGGTTTTGGCTTTACTACGTTCTGTATCGTAAATTCCTAATATTAATTACCAGAAAGTAGCATGCGAAGGGTTCAAATAGCCACATTCAGAAAAAACACGATGAAACCAACTCAAAATATACATGGATTTCAATCGGTCTTGACGTCAGGATTTTGGATAGAAGACTGATACAACACGTTCTTGGCTCCAGTGGCGTCCAGAATCTTCTTGCTCAATGCTTCCTTGGCCAAATCCCCACTCGTATACATCATCCTCAATCCCCACCCCACCAATTCTGGGCACAATACCTTCACTACGTACGACAGCCTGAACCATCCTGGTACTGTCAAATACCTGTCTCCCCTCGCCACGCTCTTCACTATTGCTTCTGCACACCCACTTGCTGATCCCAGCGGCACTGCGCTCACTTCAACCTGCATCACCATTAACAGTATTATGACTTTCTTTCTCAATCCCTAAATCAATCAAGAAATGTCGTATATATATGAATAGTGCTTACATCTCTTAGATCCTGATCTACCTCCACCCTTCCTTCGCCCATCAAGTACTTCCCCTTGGTTATTTCAGACTCTATGTAGCCTGGGGTTACTATGGTTATGCCTATATCAGACCCAAATTCCACCATCAATGTCTCGTACATGGAGACTAAAGCGGCTTTGCTTGCCTGAACATAGCACGTGTTAGAAATTGTAGAGACTGAACTAATGGACACAAAGCATTATGTTACATGGCTTACACTATCCACATTTCTTCTGGGTGCGGGCGTCCAGGAATCCACTGATGACATTGCTGCGATTTTGCCTCGTCTGGTTTTTAGATGCGGTAAAGCAAAACGAGTCATGTACACTGATCCCCAGAAGTTTGTCTCCTGTGAACAGAACATTGAAGAACAGAGAACAGAAAACAGAGTAAAATATGTGCAAAATATCCTCATACCATAATGGGCCGCATTGTTAACCAAGTGATCCACTGCATCAAACATTCTCAACAAACTGGTACAATTTTGGGGTTGATATTCTGTGCTAACTTCGCACCAATGCAGCAGACAGAGAGAGTTTTACATCTTCCAAAATGATTTACAGGTTCGTCGACCATTCTGGCACAATCCTCGACCTTGGAAACATCCGCCCGTTTTATCATAACATCCGGAGATCCAAAATCTGGAGCTCTCTATGCAACTTCCAGCAGTGCATTCTCCCTCCGAGCAGAGTGCGCTAAACGAGCACCTTTTTTACCATACTCGTATGCCAGCCAGATGCTGAAAATTGAACGGAAACTGATGGCAACGGACACAGCACGATATTTCTAATAAACTGGAAAAAAAACGGGCGTGGGATAAATTACCTCGCTGATGCCGGAGGAAGCACCAGTATTGAGGAACATTTTGCCGGTGAGATTCTCGGCGAAGATGGAGTTCAAGGTTCAAAGAAAGAACCTGAGAGTCCAATATACGGGTAAGAAGAGGGCAAGAGAAAAGAAGGTGAACGGAGGAACAAAGAGGTTGAGGAAAGCACCACGAGAATAGTGTGAGGGAGATTTATTCAGTACTAAAGGAGAAGGGGCAACAAGTGGTTCATTCCATCAGAGAGCCTTATCTCTCTATCTGACACGTATTTATGAAGTGTACTAAGGGAACCACCGCGCAATATAACCATGTAATGTGCCCAGTGCGATGCATGGCATGGGGAATTATATATGCTTTTATATATCTTTATTAATTGGACAAATCATCGATGGCTACTTCAATTTTTAAGGCCAACCTTGGCTCACTTTTGCGTAAAGCCTTCGAAAATGCTTATCCTCTGATTGTGACTCATCTGTTTCTGCCATTATCTTCTTCCTCTCTCCTTCCCCTTTTTCTCTCTTCACGATTGGTTATTATTGGCTTAGTGCATTTTTTTCAATTCAAAACATATGATCAGATGGAGTTCAAATCAACTTACTATTTTGATATAACTACTCAGCTCAAGTCCCTATTAATTAATTAGTATGTATGTGTGGGTGTGTGTGTGTGTGTGTGTGTAATAAACCATATCTAAAAAGAAAAGGATCAGCAGGGCAAATTATATTAATAATATATCATATTTAGAAAGACTTTTGATTGGGTTTTAAGGGTCAGGCCAAGTGGCCAACCCGTTAATTAGTTTTTTAATCCTTACAAAAATTTATAATCTGTGTAACTGAAGGAAAACTTCTATCAGCTCTTCTAGCTGACCAGTAGATATATGTAACTTCCACTAATTAAAAGATAGGCTATTAATTTCTCTTAAGTCTTGCAAAATCAGCAGCCTTCCTTTATTAATCATGTCTTCGTGTGTGGCTGTGTTAGTTTCCCAAGTTATTTATCCTTGCTTGGGACTATAAGGTAGAGTTACAATGATTTTGATTTATAGGCCACTTTGACGAAAATTATTAGCATGACAAATTAATATTAAAATATAATATTACATTTAATCATAAATCAATTTAGTTGCCTTGGGTTAAATCAAATATAAAATCAAGTTACCTAGATTGTGTTTTTTTTAAGAGCCTTTTATTAATTCTTAAGTTAACTAAGTGACAAAAATATTAAAGAATGGTTTTGAAAAATGATTTTTCTTTTGATAAAACTAATTCAAAAAATAATAAAATCAATCTAAATTACTATTTTTTTCCTTTTAATTTGGTTTTATATTTGATTTGACTTTGAGACGACTATGTGTCTTGCATAAATTTAGAAAATGAGACGCCTTATTCATAACTTTAAATTATTATATAATTTGTTATAATTTTTAATATTTTATATATTGGTCATGGCAATAAGTTCATATATTGGCTTATATAGTGCCCTTTTTTGGTTAATAATTATATCTAATAGCCCCAAAGCTCACAATATTAAGCCAAGTGGAACCAACTCCTTCATAATTTTGTTAGCTACTTTTTTATGACACCAGAGTGAAACACATTTAAAAAAGGTTATATGGCTTTTAACGCAAAGGAAAGGAAAACTCAGATTTCGACTTTGTTTCCTTCTTTCTTTATTTCCCTCTCTCTATTCATACCTTGCATTAGAGGTTAGCACCAAAATCGTGGACCAATAATATATTGTCTTGGTACAAATCAATCACAAAATATCACAAACCAAAGATGAACCTTCACTATTGCGATTCATGCATGACCTCATTGATCAGCTTAATCTCCCAAACACTCCTCTTCGCTATTCCGAATAGTCTGCTATTCCGGAGCCAGCTTGCGAGGCCGCCTTAAAACCAAAAAGAGAAAATTAAAGGAAGAGTTAAATATTGGGGAGGGGCCTTGAACGATATACTTTTACGTTTCATTATACTATTATATATTTAGCACTTTTCACTATTACGTTTCATTTCATTTAAAAATTAAAACTACATGGACTTGATTACAAATTTAGTAAAATTATAAGGACTTGATGAAAAGAAAAATAAATATAAGGACCGAATTAAAAACAGGTGAAAGTATAAGGACCTGATAAAAAGAAAAAAAACTATAGGGACTTGATTCAAAATTGGTTGAAATTATAAAAACTTGCGGATTAATTAACCATATTAAAAATATCATCACTTCTTTGTTACATAACTCTTCACTTTTCGTGAACAATGGAATGGACTCAGACCAGAATAGTATATTATAACCTTAGTTTTTTTTTGTTTTTTTATTTGCTTTTTTTCTGGTCACCAACTTGGAACGCTGTCGTCATGAAGGTAAATTTTACTTTTAAGGTTGCCTTTATATCTGCCCCTTGTCGTGCATGACATATGAAAACACCATGAATCTTTCTTTAATTTGGATACAGGATAAAACTAAATGAATCATTAATTAGCAAGAAGGAATAATAATGATCATAAAGGATAATGATAATGATGAAGATCACGTGTCGTGCAAATTAATTGAAGTAATTAAGGAAAGTAACCAAAACAGATATAGTTAACAGCCAAATTCTTAGATTTCAAATTACTAAAAATAATTGAGCATCATCATCATCATCACTACATATGGTTCGCGTATATAGAAATTCAGAAAGATGAAATGGGTAATTATTTGACTCAAGGATACACAGAAATTATACATAAACAGCAACAACATAATATATTTATATATACGACAGTGATATATAAAAGGAGGCCAATATGAGACCCTAACGGCCCCATATATGTAGGGTCAAATAATTTGACCGTGCCTGACAGTTACAGTTGATTTCGTACAGGAAAAAGTAACCACACCATTATAGCACACTACGTGCGTACTGTTTCTTCAAGCTTTGCATGCCTCCCCTCAGAAAAGTAATTAATTGCTGTTTTTAGGTTATATTTGTTCTTCTTTCTTGCTGCTGCCGCTTCTCCTTTTGGCCTTTGTTCTTGATCGATCCACTTAAACCTTTTCTCCAGAATTGGGGTTCCTTTGTTCCTTGTTATTTTCATCTTCTGGGATCATAGTGCCGAGGTTCACAACATCAATGACATGGTCAGAAGATAGCCCTTGATCCTTCACTGGATCCTCTAGAACCACTGGCCTGGCGTTTCTGTACGTTAAGTAAAGCACAATCTGAGCTGTGCCGATCAGGAACCCAAGAGTGTTTGGCAGCTGCGAATTATCAAAATCCAAAGATATGTTCATAATTTGTTGTCTTGTTACGGATCCCATATATATATATATATATATATATATAAAGGAAGGGGGTAGAAAAGTTAAAGGGGCCCCATATATATAAGCAATAAAACAAAATCAGAAAAAGTTAAAAAGCTACACGCCTTTGGTAATTAATTAAAAAATATTGATGAACTTACAGCAATGAAATAGTACTCCTTGAGGAAAAGGCCATAGAAGAACCACGTCACAGCTTTTGCGGTCAGAAACATGGACAGACTGAATGGCATGTATTCCACACTCTTTGTCTTAATAACTTTCCTCTGCACGTATTATTATAATAATATCAATTAATAACGATTAGTGCATACAAAAAAGTAATTATAAAGAAAAATTAGAATTTGAAGAACAAGTTTCATACAATGATTAAAAGATGAGGACCGAAGACACTGATGTCAGCCACCAGGCAAATCCATCCTATAATCTGACAACGAGTGTTTCCATGTGAAAGATACAGTGTGGACAGAAGCATGGCTCCGAACCCAAACACATTCAGTAACAGAAGAAGATTAACCGTCGCAAACTGTGAATTGTTCACAGAAAAGGAAAAGTTAAATAAACGATAAAAGAAGATTACTGATAGAATTCACTGTGAAATCACATATATGTATTTATATACCCTGAGCTTCTTGGGAGCACAGAAGAGGAAAATGGAAAGGCCGATTATCTCGAACACAATTCCACAAGAGTAGTTAATGGTGATGAGAAGTAAGGTCTCGTTGTTCTTGACGAGCGCACCGTATGTCCAAAGCATGCAGCTGAATAGGGCAGCCACATGAGGGTATGACTGAAATCCTTCAGCAGATTTGTTCTTGTATATCCGATAAAAGGTCGGCCTGCAATATGTAATTATGATATTGTAAATCATTAACTAGCCTACGTAACCGTGATGAGTTTGGCTAGTTTAACATCCAATATGAAACCAAAATGAAGTTTCGGGACTTACATGGTAGCAAGGAACCCCATGAAAGAGATGATGTTGCCTGCAATAATAGCACAATAAAGACAAAAGAGGAAGTGAAACTAATAAACTGAAGCGATGATGAATATAATACGTAAAGTTATAAGGGAAAAACGTGTAGTAGTTAATAGATGTATATACCTAGGAAGCCGAAGATGAAAGCCAATTGGTGCTGGTGAAGGGCCATGTTTGATTGTGTTTGGAGATGATGTCTCTCCCTCTTTGTGCGGAAAAGAAGTGATAATAGCTGAGTTCTCTCTCTCTCTCTCTCTCGCAGTGAAGGCTCAAGGCTATGATCTCTTGTGCCTCTCACTCTATCCCACGAGTTGGAATAGGAAGAAGGAAAGGGGTATTTATAGTGATAAAAAAGGTGGTGGAGGTGGGTAAAGTTGCATAACAAGAAAGCGAAGCATCAGTAAATAGCTTTAAATCACTTCCAGTCGTGCCTCCCAAACACTTTTCGTTCCATCTTACCCTATTGCCGTCTATTATACATAACCTTATTTGGGGTATATCTCTCTATGGGACGACCCCTTCCCAGAGGTAACTCGTGTTAACTTGCACTATTACTTGTACATACACTAAATTCCTGTGGGCCCACCGGTGTCCTTTATGATGTGTCAACCACCTAGTGGTTGTTTATAAGCCTTACAACTCGTAAACACATACACGCACATATATTCCAATTAATATTAAGAACATAATTTTCTTGTGTTGCTCTTTCTATATGGACCATATATATAATTCCTCCAATAAAATGTTTCTTGGGTTTACTCCATGCTTCCATCTTTGGCATTTCTCACTTAGTTTTAAGGCTCCGTCGTCGTCAACCCTGGTTAGCCGCAATTCAATCTGCGTCCTTTCTTCTGGTTTTTAGATGAATTAATTACAGGCTTTTTCTATATTTTGGGATATATAATATAGCCAGCTAACTTCCACCATCTCTTTACTTATTCCTTTTTTTCTTTTTAATTTTAGCTGTATGTGAACTAAAATTATATCATAAAACTATAACATACATCAACTTTAATTATAAAGGTGCCATATATATATATATATATATATATATCATCTAATATGATTAAAGGTTAAACTAATTAAACATCATTATAAAGAATAATTAATGTTGAAATATAACAAAACATGAGTGCTGCTTATGGCAATGCACCAGAATAATTAGTTTGGCTAATTTAAATCATCCAATATGAAACCAAAATGAAGTTGGGAGATTTACATTGGAGCAAGGAACACCATGAACGAGAAAATGTTGCCTGCAATGATAGCACAATAAAGACAAATTAAAAGAGAAAGCGAGCAGCTTCATTCTAGACGTACCTGGATAACGAGTCTTTGAGCCATAAAATTTCCCAGCAATATGTACATAGCAAAAATATGCATGCTTCAAGCCTATCCCATCTATTTCCCTTTAAAAGCTATATTTGAGACAACAACAGCCATGCAATTAACTATATGCTGTATGAGAAGAAGAATAAAAAGAAGAGAGAAGAAGATGGATGATGAGGTATATAAGAGGACGTGAAACTAATAAACCGAAGCGATGATGAATATAATACGTAGGGTTATAAATGTAAAAGGGAAAAACGTGTAGTAGTTAATATATGTGTAAACCTAGGAGGCCGAAAATTAAAGCCAATTGGTGCTGGTGAAGGGCCATGTTTTTTTTTTTTTGAATAAAAGGAATTCATTGACCGATCGAAGATATGTAAGTGAAGGGCCATGTTTGATTGTGTTTGGAGATGATGTCTCTCCCTCTTTGTGCGGAAAAGAAGTGATAATAGCTGAGTTCTCTCCCTCTCTCTCTTGCAGCGAAGGCTCAAGGCTAAGGCCTCTTGTGCCTCTTTCTCTCTCTTTGTTTGTATGGATGTACAATTTGCGGAGAACTCTGTTTCTCTCTAGCTATCTATGGGACTGAATAAAACATGACAGAGATGAGGGATATATATAGTGGAGCTTGGGGGGGAGTGCATATGGAAATTAATGGGATAGACATGGGTGTGTGTATATGTGTGGTATTGCATGGACAATATTGAGACTAATGAATAAGTGATGATTGAATTCCTAGAAGTTGCTTTCGGAGGCTATGGGGTACACAAAACTCATGCCCCCACCTCCTTCATTTCCTTTAGTTTGCCTTGCCCTCCCTTTAAAATTCTTCTTCCAATTAGCCCCAGCTATTTGGAGGATTTTTTATTCACTCCTTTCTAGATTTCATTTTCTTATTTTCATCTCTCCACTCTTAAAATGTTTAGAGCATGCTATACGCATGGTACTTTTCTAGAATCTCGTTGCAATTATACATGTATATTGATGGCAAAAAAAAATTATATACATGTATATTCAGTCCAAGAAGTTGGGTTAATTAAGCTATGTGTACAGAGGTCCAATTTTAAGTTTTTCACTAAATTAAAATATTTCTATGAAGAATATTTTAGCTGAAAAAATAAAAAATTAGTATGTATTTTTGAAATTAAAATAATGTATGATTTTTTTTTTTTATAAAAAGGGAGATGGGTTTCTAGAGAAAAAGGGTATGGATCAAATAAACATGGGCCAAGTCAAGCCGAAGTTCAAATATATATATATATTTATATAGATATAGACGTGAGAAGAAATAAAAATAATAATAATAACAACAACACTAATAATAGTAGTAGTAGTAGTAATAATAATACTAATAATAATAATAGTAATAGTAATAGTAATAATAATAGTAGTAGTAGTAGTAATACTAATAGAGATCCCGATGGAGAGAATCCAAGACAAACCAAAATTGCCATGGTGCTCTCTGAAATGCACTGCATTATATAATGGATGAGATTAGCACAATACTATACAAGAAAGATTGAAGCCACTTGCCCCAAACTTTTTGAAGGATACAAGTTTGGGAGATACACAGACTCTCTTCTTCATAATAAGTTTCAGAACGCAACGCACTATCTTCAGATGCCTTTTTGATGTGTAATCGCATTTTGTGGCTCAGATCTTCACTCGTTAGGCATTAAGCCATGATTTCAACGGCGCAGATTCTTCCTCAGCATCACCTTGAGGAATATGCTCTTTTGCTTAAACAAGAAATTTACACTCTTCGCTTCTTTGACCCTGCATGCACACCATCCACCACCACCACCAAGTGAACTGGTTTAATTTAAATATATGGATTAATTTTATGAGGGTCAAAGTATGGAATTTTTGTTATGTGTTTAGCTTCACATGCCCCCATAATCGAATATATATTAAATAGCCAACTACAATTATTACTTGGCCCGCCCCAATTCACTTAACCCTACGTAGAATGTGGTGATTGAATAAGTGATGATTGAATTCCTAGAAGTTGCTTTCGGAATCCAAGACAAACCAAAATTGCCACGGTGCTCTCTGAAATGCACTGCATTATATAATGGATGAGATTAGCACAATTCCCTAAATGAAAGATTGAAGCCACTTGCCCCAAACCTTAAGAAACCACGGTTAGCAGTAATTTTGGTGATTGTACTAGCTTTCACAATGATTGTAAAGTTTCAAGAATTATCCAGTGGCTACCATGAACAGGATATTTATGTGCTTTTTAATAGCTCAGCTTGGCTTTAGCTGGCGGACAAATTCACATGACAAATGAAGTCGTCCCAGAAAAATAGTTTTGATCGTGATATGTGGCGGCGTCTCAATGGTCTAAATGGCTTCAAATAATTGAGAAGGTCACAAGTCATAAAATGAGACATTTGAACTACCTTCATTTGATTTCCGCCATTGCTGGGTTGTTACAAGTGCTGATATTCCATGTTCACAATCAATGATGACGCCACTCCCGATGTTCACATTGAAAATTACTATATTAATGAAAAACTCTTTTAATATATACAATCAGAAATAACATGAATTGGTAAGAAGCCTTACATTTAAGATAAAAAAAATCTTTTTATTACCGGTTTTTATATTTAGAATTAGATGGAGTATTATATATTAATACATGTAATAGATATTGGTTTCTAAATTACTACTATCTTTCATTTTTAATATAAGAGACAAATAATTAACTTAGAGATATTACAAAAGTTAGTTAAGTTAGTGGATCGTAACAAATATATATTGACTTTCATAAACTGTCTTCTTTAATTATGTGTATTAAAAGTATCTCTTTTATAATAATAGGGATAATTTAAAAAAAAATATAATTATAAAAGACAAAATAAATTAAAATCTTATATTTTAGATTAAATTTAATTTTTAATTAACTTTTATATTACAAATTGAGAAGTACTTAGAAGGCTCTGCTTTTAACCCTTTTGACAGTGATGCGTACCTCCACCATGGTACTTTAAAGCAAATATTACGAACTATGTCCCTTTCACTCACGGTCAATGCAATATTTGCTTACCTCCACCATTAAGGCTTTTTTGCCAATACACGATAAACAGTAAAATTATCTACCAAAATGTTATACTTTTGAAACTATTTACTAATATACTGTACTTAAAATTGTTCTTGACAAGAATGATTTTAAAATTACACACAAGTCGTTATTGGCGTGAATGATTTCTGAAATCGTTCATGCCAAGAACGATTTTACTTTTTCCTATTACTCTCTTACATACGAATCTCTGCCAATTTTATATGCAAAAATAAGAATCCTTGATAATGCTCCCATGAGGTTACAACGTCTATATTGTATTAAAATTTGAAAATCTCAATTTTTTTAATTTTTTAAATAGAGCTTGATGAAATTTTTTGTCATTTCTTCTTCTTTTTATTTTTCTCATACCAAACAATATGTAACAAAAAAAATTATGCTTTGATTGTAAACTTTTAATTGTAGCAATTAAGTTGTAGGACTAAATTATTATTATTATTATTTCGGTCACAGGCACAAAAGGTCCATGTCCAATACTTGATTTCTCGTCAAATCGAACAAATGCCACACGACAGGCTTTTTTACCAAAATACTACAAAAAGTAAAATTATATACTAATATGCTGCACTTTTAAAAGTATTTACTAATATACTACACTTAAAATCATTCTTCAGGTAAATAATTTTTAAAGTCATTTATCTGTTGAACGATTTCTTCATAATCTATCCTTGATATGCATGAAAGCTTGTGTGACATTTATCTGCACTTAAAATCGTTCTTGGTAAGAACGACTTTCAAATTACACATAAGTCGTTCTTAGCGTGAACGATTTTAGAAATCGTTCTTGACGTAAACATTTGTTAAATGAAGAAGTCGTTCAGCAGATAAATGACTTTAAAAATTATTCACCTGAA